CGTTTTAATGCTGCATGGCGTACACGTGCTGTCATTTAAACTGAAGATACAAAATAATTGCACAATTGGCCTCACATTTTTCAGTGTCAATATGTTATTGCACGTCGTAGAATATGTTTAAAAACATGAATAAATATTTTTTGGTACCTACGTTAAAATGTACAGAAAATGTTTAATACCCAAAAATTGACGTTGTTGTAATTGAAGGATTTCGCAATTAGATTGTTTTTCTTGACATAATTGTAGATACAATGACAATTTGGTTATGAATATAACGGGCTAAAGAGGCTAGTGACTCATAGACTTGGTCCATGGTCCACATGACTTGTTCGAGCCGTGAGGCTGCTCACGTCACCTAAAAAACAACATGAACCTTGTGTGGGTGTGTCCCCATTTGTCCTTGAAGTTTGAACTCTTCATTGGATTTAACTATCTTACCAGTAGATAGGTATAATCCTTTGTTTTTTTTTTCTTTTGTTGGCATTAATCGTTCATTAAAAGATTATTGTGTGCAAATTCCATACAAACCAGTAGGTACCTAAGGGCAAGAATTTTGTTGTTTTACCTCATCTCATTGAGATAATTTGTTTGTTTAAAAACTGTTATACAAATAACTGCGTTAATCACGTTATTCAGGGTATGTTGTCCGGGAATACGGGTGTTATAATTAATATTCCTATAAGGTACCGATTGTTAATTTTCAGTACCTACTTGGTGTCGTGGAGTACACAATTGTACCCAGGTAACTTGTACTTTACAATATGAATGACCTTTTCAACCGACTTCAAAAAAAAGGAAGAGGTTATCAATTTGACTGTATTTTGGTACAATGGGGACATAAGGATTATTTATGTTCCTGATCTTTCAGGGTCTTCTTGAACAATACCTAGTTAGGTATCATCGTTATGTGTTAACATAATAAATATTTAATTCAACAGATTTATAGAAGACGGCAGTCTACCATATGTTTTCCAACTGCAAAGTTACTTAAGTAGCGCAGCGAAGTAAAAAGTGTTTACTGAAAAAGAAAAGGAAAAACAGAAGCATATTGTTAATTACCCATTACTTAGCACCTATTATAATTTAAGGTCGTAGGTATCTATTCACGGTAAGTTAATAAGCAAGAGTTATGTAGTTACGACTGAAGCCGAAGAATTCTGTTTCCTGCGACATGCGTAAATGGATTCAAGGAAATATGTATCTAAATATTATACATAGGCATGTAGGGTAATAACATGACACCTTTTGGTCTCTGAATTATAGGCAGCGATGCTAGTATCATAATATTATTTCAGTAATTCTCTTTCAGTGATATCATTATTGTACCTATGTTGATGTTGCATTATGGAACATTTTTACCACAAACTTTCTGCCTGCAGCTTCATATGGCGTTCATGATCATAGAACATTCCAAATGGAAAGAAACCTTGCTCTTTTTTCCCAATTCTTTCCAAGCTCAAAACTAAATCAATGAAAAGAAAACAAAATGACCAACAAAAAAATAACAAATTCAGACTGTTTGCTAAAAGATCCGCTTCGTAATCGTGAATTTTGGACATACAGCAGCCTACGTGATCATCATGTTAGCTGCGTCATCTTAAATATTAGTCATTGAGCTAATATTTGCTTGTGATGTCCTCCAGCTTTGCGATAGCTATCTAACTGTAGATTTTCAACATTACCGCGTTCTTAATTATTTTTACGTCCATTTTCTTAATTTTTGGTATAATTTTAAAATCTGGCAATTTTTTTTCATGTGTACCGAACTATCGATATTGCAAATGCGTATCCTTTTCTGGGCCCCTTTATTCATCTCTAATTGGATCTCGTCATCATTCATAATAAGCTGCAAATTAGGTACACTGATTGTTACGCCGATAACATAAAAACATTTTGATTCTGCGTGAAATCATCAATAAATTAATGTGTATGACAGATGTGACGAGTGTGACGACGCTCACGCACAACCGCTGGACACTGAAACGAGGGTCAATTGGATCGCGAGGTTCACGAAAACTTAATAGACAATAACGAAGATATATTGAACAACGTTGGACGATCTGCGTCAACTTTGTTGATGGTTGACGTCACCAATTGTTACAGAGCCTTGCACTGGGGGCAGCGAAGGTTAAAAAAACAAACTGAAATGTCAGTCACGCTGAGGATTTCTAGGTACTTATTGTACGATCGAAATTACAGTTTACGAGGTCGTCATACAAAAAACATTTTAATTTTTAATAGATTAGGTTGTGTGTGGATGTATGACTACCTACAAACATTTAGTAACATAGGCGTTCCGTGGAAGTTTTGAAAGCTGGGTACCAGTTGTAAAAAGTGACTTCACCAACCAAAATAAAACGTGACAATAATTAGGACAATCAGCCGAAACAATGCTAATAAGTACCGACATATTGCGTTTGATGGTTGATAATTTTTTTCACTTCGAGTGGCCAATCACTTCATGACCTCGAAACTGAACACAGACAAGCCTTCAGGTACCCACACATCGACAAATGAAGGCGTGTTCATGTACATGCACGTAACTCGAAATACTTATGCGGGAAACACACAAGGATATGCGCTGGTAGTGGTGAGATAGGGCTATCACATTTTTAAATATTTTAATAATATGCCTAAAATAGCCGTTATCTGCCTCTACTATTTACATAATACCGGAAAACTCACAGTTTACGCTAAATAAACGATCTATGTCGACATGTATTTCCTTTAAAATGAACTCATTCCGATATATTTTATTCATAACTAACCAATTTATATAACTAAGTAATAAAGTATGCCCTATGAATATGTGTCAGAGGGTAAAAACCATTGAGAAATGTGATCTAACAGCCCTAGTGCAGAACAAGAATGCGATTCATTTGAAAAGGCGCCAACCGACACGTAAGCCAGTCACCTGACCGTCTCGACTAGCAACCTCTGAGTACGAAATGTAGGTAACGACTTCATACAGCGTTAAAATAAGGCTTTTATTACTAATCAGTGAAGGCTCAAAATGAAATGCATTAGCTTATAGCGACCGTAAGACACAAAAAACGAATAGGAATCATGATTTTCCAGTAGGTCTTAAGCGACGTACAAAATAAAATTATGAGGAACAATGGACTCTAGGATATTGTATGTTAGCATGATTTCGGCTTCTTAGAATAATAGAATATTAAATTAGTTTTTTTCAGTGTTGAACCTTGAGTTCGGTGTAAACCGGTACAGTCAGTGACGTAAAAGCCACTCCCGCTTTTGAATGTGACTGTCAAAATTAGGGGACATTGCATTTTTGATATGATAGGTAGTCTAATATAGTACTAAATTGGCAAGTCAGTTTTGTTTTGTTTATTGTTTCATATCAGAAATGTAAGGTTTCATAGGTTGGTAACATTTAGTTGAATTTTATCGTAGTAACTTAATGCTACGTTAGCCCACGTTGTTAGGTTCAACATCCTATTAGGTACCTCCGTAGTAAATAAGCATAATTGCAATATGAATACATACTTAATCATAATTATAAGTACGAGGCTGCTTCACTTACTTATGTACTTACATCACCACCATAGCATTTAGCAATAGTCCTCAGATCTCTATAACTAATAAAAATATAAGAAAAAAGATAAATGAAATAATAATAAAAACTATTTTTCTCCAGTCATGGTGTCCAACACTATGCAAGTATAGTGGCGTGTTATAGTATTTCTATGTAATTTTTCAAATATTTTATCTAGGTATTTTACCAAATAAATAGCCATTAGGTTCACACATACAAAAGTACCAATTGATTTTGTAAGTATATTGGAAACGTGTATGTAAAATATATTGTCGTATCTATGTTAATATATAGAATAAAGTAATAAACTAAGTAATTCAGCACGAGCGAAGTAAAGAACTGACTCGAAGCAGATGAAGCCGCCTAAAAGTAGATTTTTGAAGATTAGATTACATTATGAACAATGATGAAATATATTAATATGAATTACTTAAACTAAGTATTTTACTCCATATTTTAATAATTGAATTTAAAAAAGAAATTTTCAGTTAAAAAGTTGGCCAAAAAGAATTTGACCCCGACGTGATTTGAACACGCAACCTTCTGATCTGGAGTCAGACGCGCTACCGTTGCGCCACGGAGTCATTGAGAAACGCAGCGAAATAAGCGATAAGTTTTAGAATAATAACCTTGATTTTCAATAACTGAAATATTATATTTTTTAAATGGTTGTGCTAATTTCACTACACCTCATTTTATATTTATTAAATTACATAAGCATTAATTAATTAATATTATACGTTTAATACATGCTCAGCAATTATTTTGTTTCTCAAAGACTTGTCAATTGTGTGAACTTCATAATAATAATATATTAAAAGACAATATTTTCATTTGACATTATTTTATATCACAATAAAACCCATAAAATAAATATTAATAATTCACTATTAGATCTTTTACCATATAATAATGAGGTGGTTTGTATAAGCTTCAAGCGCCATCTCTAGTACACAAAACACATCACTAACAACGTCTAAATCTCTGGATAGATGGCGCTGTTACGTGAATTGTACTCCCAATCACAAAAGTCGAATGTATAAAAAATACATTTTGTTCATTCAAGATACTTATTTTGGAATATAAACAAATACTAAAGTCCGGTTAGCATACTGAACTTATTTATTTTGTTAAAATACAGGGTCGAACGTGTAGCTCTTGAAACACGAGTACTAAGCGAGCAGTGTTTTTAAAACATAGAAGGTTATCCATTAAAATTAATAGCATGAACGAAGGGTGTGGAATTTTTTTTTCCATAATTAGCCATAGAAGTACAAAATCGATAATATGTAATGACTACAAAATTCAGAGAATCATTACAAGCCCCTGTGGCCTAATGGATAAGGCATCGGCCTCCTAAGCCGGGGATTGTGGGTTCGAGTCCCACCAGGGGTACAGTGGTTAAACTTTTTTGCTCTTTTTCTGTTACGAAATAAAATAAAATTTATTTTATAGGCATATTTATTTTGAATATTAATAGTAACAAACTAATGAATATTAATTTAAGAAACGGTTCAGATGTGTTCGCGTTACCCTGTAAGGGTAAGCACCTAAGCCCTCCATGGCTCATGTAATACCCAACTTGGTGCGGGAGACGGCAGTCATTGTCTGAAAAAAATAAAATAAAAAAAAATTATATATGGGTACTATTAATTATTTCTTCTATTTAATTATTATCAATACAATTTATATAATGTAGCAACTTTATGTAGGTATACGTGTAACCTAATATTATATCCAGTGTGAGGTAAAAAAAGATATATCTTGGAACTAAATACTAGCGAAAGCTAAGTTCTCTCATTATACACCTCCAACTATCCGTCCAGTTAACAACTGGCATGATTATTATTTTGATGTCTTAAAATCTCACAAACATATCCATTATACTAATATCACAACTTTATTTATGTATATCTATAGTTATAATTATTTTTATCAACATTTAATTACAAGACACAACTTTACAACGAATGACTCAACTTTTATTGTAGTTATATATTCGTTTGAGATAAGTGGCCGGTAATTTTGCCGAAACAATCAGTGGCGCCGTGGCTTAGTTGGTTAAAGCGCCTGTCTAGTAAACAGGAGATCGGGGGTTCGAATCCCCCCGGGGCCTAGTGGATGGTTAATATTTTTTGGTTAATTTTTTATTTGTTACTTTATGAAAATTCATGTTGAGATTAAGCGCTTTTTTAACATATATGTAGTGATTTTATAACTGACGCCTAAATATTCTTAATTTATATTACAGTGCGGAATAATCTCAATTCACAAATTGTGTGGTTGAAACAACATGATGTCGTAATCTCATGTGTTAGTGAATGCAACTTAGGCTCAAGGTATTCTTTAGAAGTATTTAACGTCTTTTAGTATTTATTGTTTACTATGACTTTGATGTTGTTAAACATAGCTACATAAGATCACGCCTTTTGTTCTCCAAATTGATAGGTAGACGTTCACATATTTTATACACAGACTTTTCACCAGTTGGGGTTATGACTCATTACAATCGTAGTCCCATGTACCTAATAGGGAGTGACCCTAATTGCTATATATAATGTAAGTACCAGACACAATTTTACACTCTGCGCTGCCACGAATTTTCAAAAAACCCATTAGGTAAAGATATTCGAAGTAACTTTGTTTAAAATTAGATCATGTTCTTGTAATGTGATTGTATTAACTTACTTGCACACAGATTGTCGGTTGACATAGCGGTGACAGTAAAGTACGCAGGCAGACAGAAGTCTGGAGATGGGCACGGCTTTGTCAGGTTGAACATGTGTATTCCTCGGTGTTCTAAAGTCTGACAGTTGTGGGAAGCTTCTGCACCACGCCACATACAGACCAACAGCTGACCTTGACCATCATTTCGGAACTAGACAATGCAGTAAATGTAATAAGAACATTGGATTAATAAAAATGTATGATAAATCAACCTTTTTGCGAAGTTAATTAACTAGGAGGTACAGCTTTGTTCGTTGTCTTTTTGTAGTAAACAACGTTTTCTGAAATTGCTACCTAGCTGGACCGATTTATCGCCCCTGAAACTCTCTAAATACGAAATTTCAAGAAAGCCGTTGGGACCGTTGCCGAGGTCGTTGATATATACAAGAATTTTTCAGATTAGGTAGATACATACTACTATGTAGCATTAAATCATAATGAAACATAACAAATACCTATTTTAAGTATCATCTTACTTAAAATAAATAAAGACCTACCTATACAGCTAAGTCCGCTCCTCACAATGGAATGCAAAAAATGCACCCTTGTTACCAGTTTTTCAAACAGGATAGATAAAAATACTATTGCACGTAGACGAAAATAGATCGCAGGCCGACAGCCGGCCGCCGACTTTTTTGTCGCACGTGTATATCCATAACGCGATTAGCAAGAACTTGCACTAAGTTTTATTATTAGTCGATAATAATAAAAGCAGCGGCTTGTAACCTGGGCCTCTAGCCAAACGCCACTTTAGCGCTTGTCTACAGAGAGAGTAGATATCAAAATGTATGGGGATGACACTGACAAGTGTCAAAATTTACGTCAATCCCATATAATTTAGTTTTCTATTCTACATGTAGACAAGCGCTAAATGGCACTTGGCTACAGCTGCTGGGCCTCTAGCCAAACGCCACTTTAGCGCTTGTCTACAGTGAGAGTAGATATCAAAATGTATGGGGATGACACTGACAAGTGTCAAAATTTACGTCAATTCCATATAATTTGGTTTTCTATTCTACATGTAGACAAGCGCTAAATGGCATTTGGCTAGAGCTGCTGGGCCTTTAGCCAAACGCCACTTTAGCGCTTGTCTACAGCGAGAGTAGAAAACTAAATGTATGGGAATGACACTGACAAGTGTCAAAATTTACGTCAATCCCATATAATTTGGTTATCTATTCTACATGTAGACAAGCGCTAAATGGCATTTGGCTACAGCTGCTGGGGTCCATAAACCATATCATAATGTATCGTTAAGGGCTCGCCAAATAAAGGAATATTTGAGGGAGAAATGGTAACTGTTTGTGACCTCCGTAGTAGTAAGGGTGCATTATTGAATAGGCTTTTACAGCTACTTACAAGGGTGTGGTAAAACCATAATATCAACTACGTATATGACAAGTATAAATATAATAGGTTACCTGAACTCTGATCAAATTCTGTAGTCTTAAATAGTAGGGATGAATTCGGTACAACATGGGTCGGTTAGGCAGCACGAAGTCCTCGAACTCTATTTGGTTGAACACAGTGTTGTTGAACGGACACTGGGGGCCCATTAACCTTTGTGGAATGTCACTCTTCACCAGGAATGTATCTACGCCAGCCACTATATCTTGCACACTTGTGGATGTCGTCTAAAAAGGAAAATTTTGTATTAAAAATAATTAGTACAGAATAGTTCTGAATTCTGCATTATTCTTCAGACTTCATTACCTTTGTAGGTGCATAGGAACGCGTTACTTAGAAAATATTTCATAGATGATGGTTTCAGCGTAAGGAAAACTCATTACCTAAACTCCTTACCTAAAGACTATTGATATTATCATTGCTTAAGGCTGTAGTCATCACTCAAAGTCACGAACCTAATAAACAACTTAGTAAGCAAGGTGAATCTTGGAATGTCGTTTTATAACTTCAGGATCAAGTTCCCACTACCAACTACTATCCAGTTATTGCAATTAAACATCTAATTACACACCAAACATGAAGCTGGGCAATAAGTGTAGCTGGTAATATTACGGTTTGCAAAGGCATTGCACCTTCTCAAACATATGTTTAACTTAATAACTCTAGTTATTCTAAGCTGACCTTCGTAATAGAAAAAGCGAAAGGGTCTTTGTCTATTGTTCTTTGTGTAATAACGAATAAAATATTCAACTGAAAGAAAATCATAATTCCCGTTTATGTAAATACATTATTGGGGAGGCCTGCGTTTGGCTGATATGGTTATAATAATGAATGAAAACTTACCGAAATAAATAGTTCAGAATAATCCAAATACTCATTGTTAATATTCTGGAAGTCAGAAAGATCTTCAGCCACGTAAGAGAAGTAGACGTCGAAGTAGTTGGCCCTTAATAACGCCATCAGTTCTCTGGTGCGATCCATCTCCGGTGCGGAAGGGCGGTCGGTAGGGCTCACTATGAGGACCACAGTGCTGGGCCCACCACTAGCGTTGTTGGATATTTCTGCTAGAGATTTGTTCAGCGAATACTGCAGAATTGTGGACATCACTGTTGGTAGGTTGAGACGGTTGGGCCCTAAAAATATATAGAACTATTGGTCAAAGTATTTCCAGAGCACGACCTAAACCTAATAGTACGGTACACATAGTGTAGACGTAACCTTAGAATGTAGCTGAAATACGTAATAGAAGGTGATTCTATGATAATAAATAAAGGAAGTGCGTAGATCGGATCACTCAGCAGTATCGTGATTTTCGTGACCAATATCTTGTCACAGTTTGTAATTCGATTTAGAAGTTTTAGAAATAAATAGTGATGATTCAAATATTTTGATACTCCAACCAAATTCAGGCCAGGGTTTCGACTTATATGTACCGAAGTGTGAAAATTATCACAATACGGTGACGTTGGGTAAATATTATTGAAGATGCATGTGATCGAAAAAATAAATAAAATCAACTTTATACAAGCCAAATAAGTACGATTGACGTTTGAACAAGGAAACTTAATAACATGTCTTACAATGCAAAAGTTAGATTTTTTATATGAATATAAATAAGGTTATAAATAAAGCCTTGAAAGATAGCTAATTAGGCTTTCCGAGAATATTTATTAGGTACAAAAAACAGTACTTATAAATTAGTACCTACGCTTACCCAGTATACAAAACAGTAAACATTTTATGGTCAGAATATTAAAATGAATGACATAAGTATTGATTCATTTGAGGAACATATTGAACCTTTTATGTATTTTGACTGAATTGCCTGTAGGCATCCAAAAGGGAATTATTTACTATTTTGTGTGCAACTTTTGACCTGGCTGGCTTTAACCATTAGCTAAAACTTAAACCATCTTTTCAAAAGATGTAAACGTGTTATTATATTATTATGTAACTGTGTTAATGGGTGCAGCTGTCCCAAGCTAATCGGGTTACCCATATAGCGATATGGAAGAATTTTGTTATCTTATCTCATAGTTACAAAGTCAATATTTAGCGATTAGGGAACTTACATTCGTCGGTAAAATTCTTAATGTAGGAGAACATTGTAGTGAGGTTGTACGAAGGGGGAGCGATCCAAGTTCCTGTGTTGCCATGGAGAAGGGAAATAGAACCTCTTTGCATATTTATTTCCAGAGAGCCGCCGATCCACCTAAAGAAAAATTATACAAGTTTCATTTTCGTCATGTCTAACCACCTGATCAAAACCAACCTTCTATTTTGAATTTTGACAGACAATAACATTTTAGCAAACCTCTCAATTTTATATTTAACTAGGAGTAATATTGAAAGATTAGATCTAGCAACCATTTCCTAATTTCCGTACCACAAATAAAACATTTGAACAAAAAATAGCACTAGCATGACTTTTTAAAGTAGATATACTTGCATATTTGCGCGAGGCCACTTTATCTAATTTCCTGGTCGAGTTGTTTTTTGCAATCTTCTTTATCGATAGTTAAAATATGCGTAATTGCGCAATGTATGGCCTTGTGTGAATGGCAGTAAGTTAGTCTTGTACTCACGACATAAATTGTTCGACGTCGTAGCCTTTCCATGACCCGTCTGTAGCGACTATCAAGTCCACGACAGGAGCACCGCCGAGCATATCACATTCTTTATGAACTCGACGTAATAAATTAGCTGAAAGCAAAGGACAATATTAATAAGTAATACTACTAATATGGTAATTATTATTAGTGGTAATCCACCACCTAATTCTACTGCCCGACCTAGTTTCAATTGTGCCCCATCAGATGTGTGTGTCATTTATCTCTTAACACGTTAACCGCCGGGTATGTCACCGGTGACCTATGTTAGCGGAGGATTTGCCTTCAACAGTTTTCTGCGAGCAGTCAAATGCTTAAACAAAAGGGAATGCATTTGTGTGAAGCCCGTATTCCGAAACGTCGTCTGAAAAATGATAGTTGCATAAGAAGGGTAACTGTAAGTGTAAGGCATCTACACAATTTGCTCTAATAACTAGCTAGCTCTAATATTCTCAAACCTGTTAAGGAACACATAAAGCAGTGCATTCTCATAATACAACAAGTACGACTCCGGACTACTTATGGTCCTACATGTTCATGTAATATTTTTCTCATTACCATATTTGACTTAGAGTCTTAGTGAATTTGCAATCTCATTAGCATCTTCATACTATTAAACTACCTCAAGTATATTCAATAAGTCATTATCACAAATAACTGAAGAAAACAAAATTCAGGGTGCTATAGACATTTCTTACAAACACACGCTCTTAATGTTAAGGTAGGTACTCACGAGCGTAATCCATAAAGGCGTTGACTGCGGCAACCGCCATCCTCTCCATCTCTTCAACGGGTACGTACACAGTGATCTGTCTTAGAGACAGAACATGAGCGAATCTAGAGGTTTCCACAAGCAAATCCTCCTTGTTCACAATGTTCGTGAACAGATTCTGACGGTTACAGGCCTTTATTGAAGGGTCGAATGATACTCCTTCGTTAGAATAATACATGTCTAATACTTGAGATAGTCTTAATGATCGTCTCTGTTCCACCCATTTAGGTACGTGATGTGCTAATATGAGACCTGAAATTAAGAATGAGATAAAAATTAGTGACTGGTAAAATCAAAAGAAAGCTGTACTTTTTATTGTTTGGTCACGCTTCAATAAGAATGGTGAGTGATATTTTTGGAAATAGACGAAACAAGCGCCAACTGTGGTAATGTTTTAAATGATATGTTTACAGTTTTTAATTACCTTCCGAACTACCTACACTCTTGGCGATACTAAAGTAATAACTATAAACATTTTTTAATTAACTGTTAGTAAAATTATTATACCTGTTCAGAGTACGACGGTACTATGAGATTAATTATTATATTTAATAGGTACTTAGGTTTTTAATACCAATAGGAATTCACATAAAAACCCACCATCGATGCCTGCAAGTATCTCGGCGTCCGTGAGCTGCCAGTCAGCGACGGTCAAGTTTTGGGGGAAGAGGTAATGGTCTCGAGGAAGTAAAGTGTCATTCCAACGATTGTTACTGCCGATCACCATGTTCTGCGCAACGGAACCCACACGAGGACCTTGGTTAACCACAACTTCTGCTAAATCACCTGGACATTAAATAGACTTATTAAATCATCAATTCATATTTCTACTGAGTGGGAATAATGCCAAGTCTCAAAAGGTTAGAGGTGCTAGTATGTCGTAAATCTTATTTAACGATATACCCTTTTTAGCAATGGCAAGCCGGGCTTAAGATTATGTTTTTAAAATGTTCATGTTCTAGTCATAGTGTGGCCACAGGTACCCACCGAGATTATGTAGGTAGGGTAGGTACTGTTTATTCGACATAATCTGCTATCAGATAATAAACACTTATGCTAATTAGCATTAGGCTCTTACTTACATAATGTAGCAGTATATTTCAGCAAAACAAGGAAATGAGAGGACGAGATAACAAAGGGTAAATAACTACTGAGAAAATTAAATATTTAACTTACCAGCGAGGGTAGCGACCCAGACATTCCCTATATCAGCCACATCGGACTGTCGTCGTATGCCTGGTGTATTATTAACTGTAGGGGTTAACGTTTCTATATCATCAACCCACTCCTGTTTAGCTGACACCATCAGTGGTTCAGCTACATCCTCCTTAAATATGATCGCGTTTAGTATATCTGTGACTGATACTCGTTGAGATTCCAAAGATGCGGCGACTGCAGCTATGACAGTTCCAGGGGATATCGTGCCCCATTGTGTCTGAATTACTCCATCTTCTATAGGGCATCTACTGATCACTCTGGAAATTGGTAAAGGTTTGTTTAGCATTTGTTTTCTTATTCATTTGTGACTGGCATGTTTGTATTTGGTTTTGATTTCGAGGTTTTGATAAGTAGGAATATTGACCTCAGTTTTAAGGCTTGACATAAATACTTACCTAAGCATATAGGTAGTTATTTACTATTTCATTGCCACATATAATATCAAGAAATTTTTTGATCTTGATCTTTGGAAGAATCAAATTTTGTTAAATGACCTTTGTAGGAATGACCTACCTATAGTCATGTGCGTGTTTGGCTACTTTTTTGTAACGATGTCCTGATGAGTGCGCTATATTATGTATTTTAATGAATCAATTAGTACACATAAACACTTATATTTGAATTTGTACGTATATGTATATTATTTACTGTATCAAGAGGTCGTCTACCTTAATGTAAAATCGACCTTTACCGACGCAAATGCTCAAATGTATATATTTATGTACCTATTTAATATATTTCAATGATAAAACCCAATTTACTTACGTCAATGGATGCGTAGTCCATAAAAATCATACGTACCAATAGTACCTACCTACTGTTTTATATTTAAAAAAAAACTTTGTTCATAAACTGATAAACAGTATGTAACCTACAACTTAAGTGCCTAACTAACAAAGAAGTGGTTTTTGACCTTATGATACGTAGTAAAAGTATTTTTGCGGGTAGCGAGCTGTGCATATACATAGGTACCTACATAGGTAAACATACAATCATGTATGTATGTAAGTACATATGAATTTGCGTAGAGTTTGGCAAATAACTACCGTCCCATTACGTCACATTGAATGGCCAAATGTTTTTTTTAATGTCTGATTACATACGCAGTACCCACCTACTATTACTCTGTGTATCCATATTATTAATATTCTGAGCAAGTTGTGCTGATAACGGGCATACTAAATTTTCATCGCCTCTCTCCCATTGCCGCACAGCCGAACTCAGCATTTTGTGCATTAGACATTTTTCAGCTATTGGCAGAATCTCATCAACTTGCACCAAATTTTGACTCGGCAGAAAAATATCCATGAGGATCTTGAACTTGTTGAATTGGAAGCTGGATGCTCTGAATGGCAATAGGAATTCAGTTTCCACAGCATTCACCGACGATTGTTCAATGCCATCTAGACGCAGGCTGTGGAAATAATAAGTAGCTATGTAACTTTACCCAACTGCTGAAAGCAGGTTTATTGATGTCATTAGTTCGAAATCAGTAGGCAGATGACGCCACCATATAAAATTAAAATCATGGATAACTATATTATAATTGCTATATAAATTATAATAATGCATTTATTTATTTACCTATATGCAAAATGTTATTGAGATGAATTTGAAAGAAGTAAGAGCTTTCAAACTAGACTAGTAGGCACAGATTCTTCACCAAATAATTGATAGATGGCGTTGCGATCAGTAAATAAACATTACCTTCTTAGTAAACCGGAGCTAAGCAGTCTCATGTCTAGTTGTGACTGTAGTTCTAGCTTCTGCAAGAGGGACAGGAACACGTCGAGGCGCCTAGGGGCCGGCAGGTCGGGGACCCCCGACCGATAGCAGTCCCGCAGGTGATTCGGTATACTTGGCACCGTCACACATGTCACAACTACATCAAGAAAACATACATTTCAACAAAACACAACATTATCTATATTAATAACTCAAAGATAACAACATAATCACTTCAAAATAGAAAGGTGCGGCCAGACGCGAGTAGAATAACACTTAGCAAATGTACTTACAGCTCACTGACAGTAATAAGTTCAATAGTAATATTTTTTCTCTCATGTTTAGGTTTTCTTACATAGCTATATTTCGGAAATATAATAAAAAACAACACAATGCGGGCTGAGCACGCGTGCGAGTGCTACTATATGGATCACAGCGTCGTGATAAGATAGTGATAATGATTCATTGCAAAACCAAACCTGGTTTGTTACAACCGTGACACCTTTTTGTTACAAAATTAAAGGATTGGATTAATAAAATAATTATAAAAATAATTTACCTTTTATTGACGATCCATCTGTACAAAATTATTCTAGTTTAAAAAAAAACTAAATTCATTCTTTACATATTTGGTATTCAAATTAAATTATTAGATATCAAGAACAAATTAAATGGACAGTAGTTTTTTTTTAATAAATAATAATATAATTAATTGTACGATACTTTAAATGCAAAGGTGTTAATAACATTTGTGATGCAACTTTTACAAGTAAAAACACAACCAAATATACAAATACTTATGTAGGCAAAACAAAATTGTTCCCATATTTATCTCGAAGAAATAAAATCATGTATATTAAAAAGAAACAAATTAAAATAAGACAGTATGACATTGTAAATAAAAGACGAGGAATGTTTTTCCTCACAAATCACGTCAGTTCCCTGTACATGGCAGCAACAAGCAACTTAAATAAACATGACTCTCTTCATCCAAAGTCTATACAAACCAAGGTGAAATTAATTCTAAGGTGCAAACAAAATATCTTCCATTAATTTGTGGATTCCGTATTATTAATAGGTTTGAGGTAACAAGCTTTATTATAAGGGTTTTTAATACACAGATATTGGCTTCATGGACCACTTTGTAGGTTAATATCATAAGTTATTTTTATCTTACTAAATACCAAAGATAATTTCAGTGGTAGTTCAAGACACACATTGAGTATGGTCGATGCGTTCAAATTAAAAAAAGAACACCAATAACAGAGTTACTTTTGAAGTGCCAAAAATCCCTTATAACAACTTTCTGCTTTCTTAAAAGTGCTGCCCGTATTATCATAATGCCCCATACTGGCATAGATTTGTTTGTATCTTAACTTTGCAGTCATATAAAATATCTAAAATTAATTTATAGACTAACCTTACAATAGAAAATGTTTGTTCTAGCATGAAACAGTCTCTATTGGATGAATGTACAAACAATACTATTCATTCATTAGTAATTTACATGTGCATGTTTCAAAATAAACTCACTAAATACAGTCTATAATTAGTTTTGATGGATAAACCTAAAAGTTTGTTTACAAAAAATCTCTTCGTAATCCATTTTAAGTAAGAATAAAGAATATGGACGTGAAATAAGTAATTAACTAACAGTAATAGTAAATAATAACTGAAAGATGTATCAAAAACATTACAGTGTATATTATTATCGAAGTACCAATTTGGCCGGTTTTCCATCCACTTGTCTTGATGACCCATGTTTTAAGGTAAACTCTCTCTTGATATATGCGAACAGTAAGTCTGTTATAAGGAATATTTGGGCAGTGGCAAAGGAGAGAGTGACTCCAAAGAAAAAGTTGGCATTCGCTGATCCAGAGTATATCCACAGGTGCCACACTGTTGGTCCAAGTGCTGAGGTGATGATGAATGTGCAGCCCACAATGAATTTCTGCTGCATGACTGAAAAATAAGACATTTTAAAATAGTTTACTTGTTTTATACAACCCATTTTCTTGATTTTTAGGGCAACATGCTCTACATAGATTCTATTTAAACTGCTGATGTTCTTAAACTAAGCGACAGTACACTTATATCATGAATACAATACAAATTAACATATCCTAAGATAACAAGGTAATATTTTCAAGACAAAGGTAACATTATCATAACTATAGATCTTGTTAGTACAGATATTGTTATACTTACATGTAAATAAGTGTTTCCACATTGGCAGTAAAGCTAAATAAAAGCCAACATCACCCACACATGGGTAGGATCGGAATATACTTGAGAGTGCAATAAGCACTGTGGCCAATAGTATTGGATCTTTCTTGAATCTTAGTGTAAGAGGAATCACATACAAAGCCAGAGCATTGATTTGGAATGCACAAACAAACAGTACTCGGAAATGTTCAAACATTTCTGTAAAGAAGTACCAGAACAGTCCAATGTTTGGCTTCAAGTCAGGCACAGTCAATCTGAAAAAATAAGAAATATAGCTTTATTAAGTATATTTTGTGATAAATATTCTAATTGTCTTAACAAAGGAATGGGCAATCTTGTCTGAACTGGTTTATAGAGATACTGTTTATCCATTAAGATCAAAATATCTACAATCCGTGTACTCACATAAATCCATAGGTGTTGTAGACATATTTGTAAGAACCATCCATAATATATGCTGACAAATAAATGAGGAATCCCCAGCTTAACACAAACACAAGTAATGTTCTAATATAAGAACATTTGGTGCACCCTTTGTTGACTTCAGCCAATATTAAGGCAATTGGTACAATTAGCAGCACTGGGTACAGGGCTTGGTGTGTAGCCAGTGCAATAAACACACAAGCAACAATTCTCTGACCACTTGAAGCCCCCCACAATGCTGTAGCCACCAACAAGTTCTGTATAACTGTTGTAGTCATACCAGCACAGTTCAAAACAGAATATGGGTTGAACAAGTAAACAGATAACACATATTCTGCAGATTCCTTCAGTTGAGCATCATCCAAAAGCATAGGTTTAGACTCATCAGCAACTTCAGCCAGTTGCTTCTCTTGGGATTCTTTCAAAATCCGTATAAAAGCTTTAGAAGTTTTGTACAGAAGATGAGCAGTCAGGAGGTCCAAGAATGTAAATAAAACCGGTAAAATAAATGGCACTTTTTTCATGATATAGTAGAAAAAGACTAGCATTATAGGTGATTCATGAAACGAATCTCCTTCATAAGGATTTATGTTGTGATCATATAAATAAACGCCTTCTATTAACCTCTTCCATGAGTTTAGAGGCGTTGCGATTTCCACTCTATTCGCTATAGTTTGCCAATAATCCAAATTAATTAACCAATACCGTAATAAGCCGGCAACCACATATTTTAAAATCACACCCATTTTTCTAAATTAAACATAAATAAACCGGGTAAAATTCTTCGCAGCTCCAACTTCCAGATAAAATAATTATATTTTGACAGTGACAGTTCTAATAAGAAAAGACAAAGTAACTTCAAAATTGACAGCAAAACAGTTTTACGCAGAAACTCTATCATTGGTAAACTCGGTCGCTACTCTAGAAGGGAAACTAAAGTGGTAATGGCAAAATAAAAATTGTGTTCAAATACCAATATTTTCTCACCTTACATATTCCCTTTTTTTAATGTTCTAATATTTCTCAAAAACTACTACCTGTATACTGTACGTTGAAAAATTAGTCGTGCCGGAGTTTCGACGCCTAGATACCAACAAAAACCCGTCGCTGTGTGGTCCCTATGCATGTTACCTTTAGATTTTAGAGAAAACCTGAGAACTAATGTCGTTATAACTTTTTCACTTATTTTTAGGTATTGTTAGTTACACCGTTAGTTAGGTTGCAAGCCCAGCAGACTATTGATATTATTTCAGTGGGGTGGGTAGGTACCTATCTCTCTTTCGCCTCTATACCTAAACACGACCCCTAAGGGCAGCAGGCAACCCTTATAGGTTGTAAAGGGAAGATGGCAACCACCTATAACACTGACAATCAGGTTCTGCCACTACCAAACCCAACAATTAGTTGGGGAAAAGCTAGCTAGGCAGGAGAAATAGGTTTCCAGTGTGGAACTTTGTCTCAATGACAAAGTATAATTATAATAATTAATGTATTGGCTATGTGCGCGACGGTGGCGACGCGTAGCGTAATTATAACATTTGCGGAAGCTGTCAAATAATAACAACATAAACATTATATTTTTTTACAAAAATAAATAAAACCAAAGATGAAAATAGTATTGTTGCCACTACCCGCTTTGCACATAGCCAATAAGTAGGTACAGCAGAAATTAAGGTTAGATATTGCCATTTATTGCAGATTAGATATAACAGTAGTAAGAATTATGGGTTGTCTTAGCTACTAAAAATAAAACACAGAAAACAATAGTAAAGTGGTATATGAACGCATTAAATAAATTTAATGTATAAGTACAATTAATTGAAGTCATTTTCTTTTGCATGTATACTTATCATACTAAAAAAACGCAAACCAGTGTCAACAATAAAATATTATTAACTAATTAGGTACATTAGTATCCTATATTGCAGGTAACTTTAAAAAAAATGTTTGAACATTTAAATGTTTACACTTATTCAACACTACTTACATTTATTCAATTACTTAAAAATTATGAGTTAAAATAAAAACAAATTCGAAACAATTTGTTATGCATATTAAATGTAGGTAGGGACCTACTTCTTATTACAAAGGAGAACGGCAGATTTTGTACCGCTTCGCTAAAAAAAGATTTGTCATTAAAAAATTGGGTCATTATAGAACCTCCTAAGTACGTTATGTTAGCATATTTAATAGATTTTTAAAACTTGGGAAACCCTAGAAAAACTGATCTTCAATAATGATAAAAAGCAATCCACTATACGTAAAACGAACCGCGATTGACGTTTACAAAGTTGCCATGCGTAAAGATGAAATCAGAGCATATTGAATTTCGCTATTTCATAAACTCATTTATTTTAATATCTATCAATGAAATATTTTCCTTTCCATTTCAAACATTTTTATAAGTAAATATAAAAATCTACATCCAATCTAAATCTACGTTTACATGGATTATTAATGATAATTAACATTTTAACAAACTTGAATATTATGGCAATGTTGAACTGGCATTTGTCTTGATGACATTGACAATTAATTTGTCAATACTGGCGCATTGCTGTTTGTTTCAAGTGCGATGTTATGATGTGTTTGTTGAATTTGAAGTTATTTTATTCATCTGGTGATACGTTGAGTTTGGCAACCGTTCCTCCGTAGCCCAAATTGGTATTATTGGCATCATTGTTGTGACAATTGCGAAAAGACACTTATTTACATTATTTGTGCAGTGTGTTGTTATTTGTCGCGATGATGAATTTACAGTGTATTAATTGCATTCAGAGTTTGTCGCACATGAGACGGCATGCTCTAGAAAATGAGAGTGAAGATTAGACGTGGTCAACAATATCCCAATGTGGACTTATCCTAGAGATGTAAGTACCTAGTTTACCCATAACATATCGAAAGTCACCATGTTCCTGAATAAAAGAAGGCGCATAGTGTAATCTACCCATAATGTATCATTTTATTCTTTTTATTCTAGATCTCTCCTACCGACCATATTTGCAATGCTTGCTGGCAATTAGCAATGTATCGGGATGTTGCTGAAAGTATGTCCAGCAAACAAATTGGTCACTGGCATGTTCGTGTCGTATATTTATTGTCGTATATTTAATTGAATTGCCAACAAACAGGAGTAAAGACTGGCTCATATAGTATTTGATTGGATTCAGCCACAAGAGGTAATAAAGCATAATTTAACCATACTATTATCTATATACAGTGTAATCTAAAGTCAATATCATATTCTAATAATATTACTTATTTTAGCTTACTTCCCATGATGAAGATCATGTTCCATACTGACTAAGAGACCGTACAAGAGTCGAAACTATAAAACCACAACCTGACATACCACCTCACAGTGTTCACTATCAGGAAGTAATGTATTATGTAAACATGGACTAAGCCTCACTTTAACATTGCCATTTGTAGAACAGATGAGGCCGGATGATGTTGTTCGGCTCTCAAAGCTTCAACAGGTATGCATTCTCAATATAATGTACCTACATAATTATGTATCTATGTGGAGTATATAAGCGGTTTCTAATAGGTTTATACTCATGTTATAATTATAATTTATTAATTAGCATGCTGTTTGAGCTCCTATGATCTGTGTTATACGAATAACTATAATAAATGTTATAAAATGAAGTAATGTAATCAAATATTTATTTTTATCTTTTCCATTTTAAGATAGGGAATCAGACTTATTATTATAACATATAAAACTAAAGGAAAAAAATGTACTTTTGTTTACTTTATTTACAGTTATCTTACTTGTTTACAGATATCAGCAATTGATGTCTGCTGTACCTATGACACGGCCTGTTCTCTTTTTAGATGAAGTACTCCTAGAAACAACCTGAATACAATGAAATAAAAGTATTTCAAAATAATACATTTGTTTTATTTTAACCTAGTAAGTAACTATATATTCCATCTTGATAAAAGTGATTTTAAGAATCAATCTATAAAATAAATGCCATATTTAATTTAGATAGCTTTAGTTTTATACCAAAAATGTTCATTTTCATTTTACATTTTCTTTAGTTGTAATGTGGTGGCCCAGAGGTTTAAGAAGCCCGCTTCTCATGCATGAGAGTGCGGGTTCGAAACCTACCAACGGCAAAGTACCTTTTGTCCAATGTGTCTTTTTTCCGAGTTATTGGTATATTCAATAATCTAAGAAAGTACAAAGACACCGCTGACGAATGGTGAAGGAAAACATTGTGAGGAAACATGGGCTTATAATTTCTTATTATAAGTTTGAATTACCAACCCACATTGAGCTAGTATGGTGATTAATGCTCAAACCTCCATGCGAGAAGAGGCTTCGGTCAGCAGTGGCCACTTATAGACTTAATGATGAAAATGTTGATGATTCTACTAATTTGACTTACTTATTAGAAATTAATCCTTACATGCGTGCTAAGCAATCAGTTTTCAGAAGAAATACTTTCTCAAAGAGCTAAGCAAGTTTAAATCGAATTAACTTGAGACCCTTGAGACTATCTACCTGCAAGATTCAAGGTGAAGTGAGACATTAGTTTTATCATATCCGCCACAAGACTTCCACTGCTAAATGTAGGCCTTCTACCCAATGACAGTCGCTTACATTATGAATTTGCATTTTCGTAGGCACCTAAGAAATGAAAAAGATTGTGAGGCATACTCTTTAAAACTCTATAGGTGCATCATGCTTGCTGAATTAACAGGATCATTCCTAATTGCCTTTTGCGCTGCGACGCACCATAGGTTATTTTTTGGGTTTCTAAATTCTTGTTGTGTGTCGTAGCAAAATAAATGGTTTTTCTTTGTTTCTTTCTTTCTAATAATACAAAGTGTAATAGTCACTTGAGTAGCGAGCAGTATTTTTAGATTTTTGTTTTTTGTAAATAAACAACCACATGAGAGCACATTGACATTTTTCAGTTAACTGTCATCTGTCATTTGTAATAGATATTTTGCTTACGGTGGCTCTACACTTGACGTTGCGTATTTGTTGTGTTCGGCCAAAAAAGAACATGTTTGGAGGATTTATTCTTCTTTGTTTGCTATATATTTGCACGCCATTACATATAGAGATACTATTTGGACGCCATTTGTACGTAGTCTACAAATATTTGGACAAATGAAGCGACTACGCAATGTCAAGTGTGGTACCACCTTAACATACCTTTTGCACATTTTCAAAGTGAAATAACTTTTGAACCCCAAGTTCTAAAAATATGTAATTTTTTTCTAAACTTCATAATAAAAATATCTATCGTTCAGATTATTCACTTGGTTAAAACAATGACTAATACAAAATTTTATAGCGGTACAAAACTTCCATACAAACCTGCCATTCTCCTTTAGGTACGTCTTAAGTAGTGATGGTAACTTTACTTTGTAGCCTATTTAAAATATTCTAATATTAGGTACTTTTAGGAATCACAGAACACCAATGTCTTCTAGATATAAATTTTATATGAAATAAGTAACTACTTAAATGTTTTTGTTAAAATCATGAAGATGTGGGAAACAGTTGATCGTAAGGAACTTTTAGGAATAACTTATTTGCTACTCTGACGCCGATTCTGTTCCAGTTAGCTTGAGCATAGGGCAGAAATTCCTTGTATAGCATTCTCCAGTTTTCATTCGCGAATCTTGTACCCAAGTCAGCTGAAAAAATTACAATGCAAAACTTTAGTTTGTTTTAGCACATTTCACGTTTTTTTTTCAATTTAAATTACATCAAATTTTCTTCGGTGTTTACTTAGGCAAACCTATTGATATACAGTTGTCCCTGGAGTCGACGATCAAATGGCACCAGATGATGCGTTCGAATTTTTTTTTTTCTGGAATTTAATAAATACTGTAGGCAGTGGTACCTACACCATTTTATAAACCTTATTGAATGAGCCAACTTTGATGAAATTTGCCACTACTAGTACAGTACAATTTTTTTCAGTACAGTCATTCAAAATAAGATAAAAACTTTATTAAAAAACTTGGTTCATCAAAAAATTATATACTTTTCCAAACTACAGCAGTTTGCCCAGAATTTATGATTCCATAATACTGAAGGACTATTCAGGATAATGTAAGCAAAAAAATCCAGACATAAAAATCAAGAATTGTAGCAACAAGATTCAAAAGACTCTCACAGGGTGTACTTTTTCGTGGATAACAAACAAGTCATTAGCATTTAAAAACTATAAGACTTGGAATTTTTTCTATATTTTTCTGATGACTGTTGGAACCTTGCCGATCACCCGGTGCCATTTGATCGTCGACACTGTATATAATTACAAGAAGTATTGGGCATAACTTAATGGTATTATGGTATTATTTCTAGATTAATAAGTATTGTATTCTACATAAATATATTGTTTTGTCTAAAAATGCATTTTTTAAATTCCAGAAAACCAAATATATAATATGATATTCGGTTAAAAAATTTAATTGATGGAATGGAACATCAACCATCTACTCACTCAATTCTCTAGATTCTGGGTTGTCGTTTCTGAAGTGAGTGACCAGGCTGCCAACGTCGGGTCTCATGTAGAAATCTTTGATGCGGATATACGTCTCAGTGCCGTTCTTTTCTGGGACTCCGGCAAGTTTCCACGTGTACACTAAGTCAGCTGTAAAATATTAAACGAAAATAGACGTTAAGAACATAATTACTTAATCATTATCATCAACAGCCATAGGTACATCATACATCAACAGACATAGGCCTCTCCAATGGTATTTTCTATAACCTATTAGCTTCTGCCCGCGACTTCGTACGCATAATCGCATTTTTTCCCGTCCCCGTACGTGATTTTCGGTAAAAAGTAAAATAAAATGTTGGTTAAGAAGTATCCTATGTCGGTCTCCTGGCTCTAAGGTACCCTACCAATTTTCAGCCAAATCTATTCTGCCGTTCTTGAGTTATAAGTGGTGTAACTAACACGACTTTCTTTTATATATGTAGATTGCTTATTAATATTAATAATAGTATTCTGTAGTAATAGTACCAACATAATTATGGATATTATTATTATCGCCGAGAATTGGGTACTTGTCAACTAGTCAAATTCAATACATTTTCGAACTGTCAAAAACGACAGTTTTTTTATAAATTTTGTACAAGATTGTGTATTATGACGACACATGTTTCTAGAATTAAACAGCATACTTATTTCTTAAAAATTTTGCTGGAAAATTACTAAAATTAAGTTGGTCATAAAATCAATTGAATGAAAGTGTGATTATTTTGAAATATTTTATTGTATTGAACAGTCGAAATAATTTATTTTTGATTAAGCAAGTACCCAATTCTGAACGTAGCTGCGTACCTTGTACTTGTAGGTAATGATTGTAGTTGCTACCCACCAACAGGTAAGTACACCTCTAGCAAAATCTTAATGATGACATAGGCATAGTTATCGTAGGTAATGTAATTGTGGTAAAGATATTTTTCTACGTTATATATAAACATTATAAAAGTACTTAGCAACACTTACTCATAGTAGTATTAACTTGTCCATAGGCTACAATCTTCAGAGCATTGAACTGTCCTTCTCCGTAATAATCAGACCTGACTGAAACTCTTGGTCCACTCAGGTCCACTTCTAAATGAAACTTGTCATCATCAGCGCGCAATCTGAAACATTTATTAATTGATACCTATTATAAAATAAAACAGGTTATTTTTTGACTATGTTTATTTTCGTCGCGGTTGCAAGATCACAGATGCATTATTATTGCATTAAGTATATAATTTATTTATTGTATTTATAATAAGTATATTAATAAAATTCATTGAATATGAATCTATATCTTCCTATTTAAACAAAGGGCAAGGCTACTTTATTGTATTAAACGCTTGAATGCATCGATATGAGACACAATAGAAAATACATTGTGTCTCGCGTGGATCCACATTTAGACACACGACGGGTTAAACTGAAGCGTAAAAGGCAACCACCAAGAAATAACTTCAGAAAAGGAGAAAGATGGAGATAGAAAGGCGTAAGATTTATAGATGTTGCGTAATCAACGGTACGTACAATAAAACCGGTTTGAAATTCATGAGTAAAAATTGTTACGTATTGATACAATATTACCTATAAACCAGTAACTCACAATCATTGATGTCTTTAAAGGACAAAATAATTAAATTCTAGGAACACATAGAACCTTTTAAGTTTATGCGTTTTAAAACAATTAATAATGATAATATAATAGATATGTAAATAACTATACCTGGCGTCATGAACGATGGCCTCCTTCAAACCTTCCACGTAAATGTTCTTTAAAGTCAATTTCGCTGCGAGCTGTAATGCCAAAAACAAAATTAAATAATCAGTGGCAAATAATTAACTATGGCCATCGAATACCGGTTCAGATATGAATACTATTATTAGCACTTTAAAATTGTATATTAAAATACAGCTGGCGGAATGAGAGCCATTTAAGAGCTGAGTGGGAGAGCCTTGCTTCGGCACGAATGGGCCTGTTGGACCGAAGTGATACCACGGCCTCACAGAAGACCGACGTGAAACAACGCTTGCGTTGTGTTTCGTTGAGTGAGGTTACCGGAGGTCCAATTACCCCCAGTCTCCCCAGTCCCCGAATCCCCTATAATCCTCAAATTGCTAATTCCCAAAAGGCCGGTAACACACTTGTAACGCTCCTGGTGTTTTGGGTGTCCATGGGCGACGCCGATTGCTTACCATCAGGTGATCCGTCTGCTCGTTTACCAGCTAATCCCATAAAAATGACGACAACGATTTTGAGAATCATCCTTTAGCAAAGAACTGAACCTTTTACCTATATAAGAACTAAACAATTAACCTAACAATAATTCGAAGAAAAATTAATAGTCGTTAAGTTTTAAAATCTTTTTTTGTTAGTGATGTATGTCATATCATGTTGATAATTCAGAGATAAATAAGTCCAGGCTCTACGACGGCCTGTCTAACTTTACACAACTTTGAACTATAAACGTGCTAAAGGAAGATAAGTACTTCCGTATATACACCAATAAATTCTTGACGAGTATTTGTTGGATATTTAAATTTTATTTTAAGAGATGCCTAAGGGTAACTTATTCATTTGTGAAGACATTAGAGAATTGGGTCCCGATGTCAATACTTTCTGGGAAACTTCGTCATTGTTCTCTCACGTGTTTAGATATTGTTGCGATAGTGGTAAAAACCTTACAATCCACTTATATTCTCATGGTATTGCCTCTATTGTTTGAACATGTAAAGATGTCCTGCGTTGACGCAAGAAAATGTATGGCCTAGAAACTTTGCGATGAAACTTTTTGAAATAAGTAAATAGTAGATTCTGTCGAAACAGAAATTCCTAAACCTAAACTCAACTACACGACCGCTGATAGTTGAGTTCAACGTTAACGACCGTCGCGTCTTATTTTATAAGTAATCTATATCTATATGTATATATAAAAGAAAGTCGTGTTAGTTACACCACTTATAACTCAAGAACGGCAGAATAGATTTGGCTGAAAATTGGTAGGGAGGTAGCTTAGAGCCAGGAGACCGACATAGGATATAGATATAGATGAAAATTAGCAGGGAGGTAGCTTAGAACCAGGAGACGGACATAGGATACTTTTTATACAATACTTTTTTTTTACTTTTTACCGAAAATCACGAACGGGAACGGGGGGAAAATGGGATTGCGGGTACGAAGTCGCACAAGCAGTAGCGGGCAGAAGCTAGTACTATATATTTAGGAAATTAACTTGCCAGTTAATATCATGTAACAGTTGTGTCGTTATGCCCAAGCTCAATAGATGTAAAACCGAAAGAAAAAATGGAAAGGACACAGACATAGTACTTACATTAGGTTTTATGAAAGTACATAGGTAACTACCTACTAAGTAAAGTAAGAAGTTAACTTACGTACATACGTAAGTAGTTGATAGAATACAGTTATAAAAAGTACGCACTTGTTTGGCGATGTGAGTAGATATAGCCATGGACTCGACTATGAAGGTTAAAATCTTGATCTACTATTCATAAAAGGTTTGTGTCAACTTAGTTACCTTCATATTCCACTGAATAATTGATGGTATCTAGTGTCTACATATAATTACACAACAGTTAGACTGGTTAGTACCTAAGGTAAGATTACCTGGGTAGGTACCTACTCGTAACTGTTTTTTACAGTAGCATCAAGGATAAAACTTTAAATAAAGGATTTCTATGTGATAACAATTATAATTAAGAGAACAACGTCATACACAGGTATTATAATGAGATCGTAATTTGTATGTAGTATGTAAGCTAACTTTAATTGTTATGTAGGTATAAAAATTGTATTTTATTTATTTAATTTTATTTATTTATATACCGGAGGCCCAATTACCCTCCCCTTCCCCAATCTCCCCAATCCCTGAATCCCCAACGATCCTCAAACTCCTAATCCCCAAACTACCAATTCCCACATCTTATCTAACATAACTTTATGGATAACCATAAAGTATATGGTCATAATGACATGGCGATATGAGAAGGTTTCCAACACAATTCAGCCCATAGGACGATCTACCTCAAAAATGGTTAGTTCAACTAGTTTCAAGCCACACTGGGACTCACATTCAAAAGATGTGTGGTGCGCAAGAAGAATTAGTAGGTACTGCAGGCATGCATCGCACATCGCATCTGTCTAATCGGGCCTGTTTCTTCGTTATATAAAAAAAAACATTAAATAAAAGTAATTCCCAACAGAAATGTACTTAACCTTCCCAATAGTTTCGCCGTAGTTATGGCTAACGTCGTCGGAATATCAATGAAGGAAACGACCTCCTTTTTTATAGGTTTGGATATCATCTAATCATAAAAACTCGACAACGCGATGTTATAAAATAGTTTTTATGTTAATTAATTTTTTGCTCTATTCTTTTATCAATATTCACGTGTCTTGAATTTTTGATTTGATATTATAGCATTAGTTTGTATCAAAGATAACCATGAACTAACTCGAGGACACTCAGCTGCCTCGGTTACCGTCTGCTTAGTTTTATTAACTCGTAAATACAGCCAGTTTTTCAAAATGTTGTTAAGTTTTTGTATTATTTTTTCTCAGTTTGTGTATTTACATTGTTGGGTACTAAACTTAAATAATAAAATAATTATAATTTTGTCTGACAAAAGATATATTATTATGGCCTGTGTGGCAATGAACATCGCGACACACTATTTAACAAAAATAAGTAATTTAGATGACGAAGTCACGACTAGTCTCACGGTGTCTCTAAAGCTGTTACTTAACAATGATACAATTTAATACACTTCCTTATTTGTTTAATTATAGAAGCATCAAGCCAAGCAGTTGCATTTAAATTAAAATAGAAACAAAATAAAGATTCTTATTCATTTAGTATTGCAATTAAGAAAAAGTTATAATATTATTTAAATATTCTACAAGTGTTATATTAGATAGGTACCTATCCACTTATTTTATTATTTTACTGTTTTACGGGCACTTGCCTAAACCTAGGTAGGTATTTGATTTAATTTGATCTAGCTGATGAATGTTTCACACACTCTTTAGAAAAGTAGGCTCAGTTACGAAAATGATGGACATATCTTGGTGTTTTTGTGTTGGGTAGGAGTTTATTATAGGAAAATGTGATATAAGTATGTACCTATAAATTAGTTGGCAACATCTGAAGAAGACAATAATGATTGTTTATGACATGACAATCAATGACAGACATTAACTCGCATTTCCGTCCTATACTTCCATCACATATGGATATGATTTTAATGCCCCTCATTGACAAAGCTAACAAAGGTTGATTATCTACTATATGTCTAGTGACCATTAGAGATCATATTTGCCTAACAATTTAAAGGTGAAGTTAAACTACTGTAGGAAAATCTTATTCGCGAAATATATTCAATTTAGGATGAGATTATTCTTTGAAACAATAATCAAGATTTAAATTAAAATAGCTTTATTATGCATATCAAGTTCATTTATATTTGTAAGTCTAGACTTTAATATACATGACTCAGGCGCTTCAAAAGGTCATGATCTAGTGTCATTAAGCTATTTTAAACTGTACCTAATGTTAAGTAATAAATAAATATTTATATCAGAATAAAAAAGTACCTAATTCAATAAAGAAGACACAAAAATAGATCTAAAACATTTTAATATAAGCAAACTGTCTATCCAAACGGGCAAGAGTAAAATTGTAAGACCACAAACCACAACAATAAGAAATCAAACAAACCAAATTAACATTTGAATGAAATCATTGAACATAACTATTTTGCTTTGTCTTAGATAAAAGCGTAGCGAAATAAACGTCATTCACATATATAGGATTTAAAAGCATTCAGCAGATCTAGGTAAAGCCGGTTGTTGAATTTCCTTCGCTTTTAACCTTCAATTTATTATTTCCAATTTCTGAATTCAAACAAAGAGGTTGCTTGATTGAAGGTTGGCAAGCAAATGGTTCAATTTGTTTATTTTTATCGCAACATTTTTAATTGCTTTCGTGGTTAAATAAATAAACGGCCACTGGTTGAAACACATGCCCTACACCTAGTTACATTCTACATTTTTAAATTCTTTCTTTGTTAATTGATTTGTAAAAGCTTACTTGGGTGCAGAATAACACACTGTTTAAAGCAAAGGGTTACCAGACCATAGGTGAAATATATCTAAAGGTCTAAGTTGGGACTAATTATAAGTATTGAATTACTAATATACCAAGGTAATGTAGGCTGTGTAGGCAAATGGTATGGACGTAAATAATTAAATCAATTTCCTATAAAAATAGAACTGGTAGGTACTACAAGTATCTCTGTTATGTAGGTATGTACCTACATAATATATAATCTTGATTATATTTATAAAATTAGTAGTAATAGTTACATAACATGTAACTATTACTACTAGTATTACAAATTTTATTATATCGTTAATTAACCAGCTCTAAGGATGTTTTAAAGCGTAATACATGGAGTTTTTGTATCACGTTATGTATTATTTACTGATGATGATAAATCTTTGTGATTATTATATCTACCTAAGTATAATAAATTATCATAGCCGGGATTTACTTTATATTCAGTTTCTTTATTGTTTATGAGATCAAAAATAAGATAATTACTGAATTATTTAATTACATCCTTACTACGACTTTAAATATAAACTTTAAGTTGATGAATTAAAGTTTAATTTAGAAAGATGGGTTTTATAGAGATTTAAATTAGATGAAAAAGAGCTTTATACTGTAGTGTTATACACATCGTGTAGTTAAAAATTGGTATTATAACTTTATAGCATTCATGCATTTAAGTTTATTTTTGACACTGAATTTACAAACAAAATTTTCGGTTACCATAACATATTCATCAGGTATGTATCTAATTCTAAATATAAACCATTTACGTGTTATGTCGATCTCACATTCAAAACGGTTTGTTTAGACATTGTACAATGTAGGTACAGTATTCACAAGGACAAAGATTTTCTCAAGTATGTAGTAAACAGGTCTAGTAAGTTGTTATTTTAAGACATTTGGCAGAACATGAAACTAACAATGGTTTTATGAGGTCAGGAAGGTAAATACCAACTTGAAGGAACTATAAAATCGTAAAATGGCACAATTAGGTACCTTTTTTATATTATGTTTAATGGTTTCTATAACCTAGTATATCCTGTATGATAGGGTTTTGGAATGACGTGGGTACCTAAAAACAGGACATTATCATTATCTTAGTTTCCACTTCCTGCCTAGTATTTAACTTTTGGCAACACGTAATGTAGCCTAAAGTCATGAATAGAATAATTAACTTCTCATGCAAACTGTCGATAGTTTGCCCATTATACATAATTTTTTTATTAACTCGAAAACTATTTATTATAAAAAAATACCTACGGAAATATATGAACAATTGCATTTATGATCGCTAATTTTAATTGAGCAATAAATTACTAATTGTTTTATTTTATAAGCACTTAAAATAAAATTTAAGTCATATCACTCAAAGGGCAGTAGTGAAAGTGGAGTTTATAACCTTAAAGAACAGGTATAACAAGAAATGAACCAGAAAACAATGATATATTTATTATAACACATGACAATGCTACACGACTCGCAAATTATACGCTTTTCTATCAATCAGCCAGTTACTGTTAGGTAAGTTACGAACTTACACTTTAAAAAATTTTCTGACTCTAAATTGACGATGAAATCAATTCGGATACCAAGTGGTAACTAGCAAAAGACCTACGTCGAGTTGAAATGATAATACAGTAAAGAGGTAGACGAACAAGACTCGACTCACTCGACTGATACGTGAAAAGATATTATCTAACAGTAATTTTGAGTGGAGACCTCAACAATCGTCATTGGACCACTGCTCATGTAACAAACATGTTTCTTATATTCGCCAAGAAAATAATGACAATTTTATTGTCTTGATTTACTTGTTTGACCTTATTTTACATATCCTTCAGCAAAACGATTAGTTATAAGCCACAGAAAGGCAAAAGGAAAAAGATTACAGAATAGGTCATTATGTAGGTACCTATCTATGTAAGTTACGTACTGTAATAATAATTTTAATAGCTGATACTAATGAAAATGACTGGCTGTACCTATCTACACAAACATGTTCGAATCATTCAGTTTAAAACTGTTTGCACTTTATCTCTCTTTGATTTAGGTCTTCGTAGTGTCAGGTAAACTTCAAAATCAATCCCATTTTTTGCAGCGGATTATATTGTTTTTTTGGTAGTGCAGTTTCAATCAGAATATCCTTTTAAAGGCGTTTACGTAGCAAAATCATCAAATATAAAACTAACGTATTGGTTGTGTTGAAAGAACATTTGTACCTGATTATTCTTGTACTCCAACCGAAAGTCCTTCTGCAGGTAAGGGTCTATGGGTGGCACTCCCAGCTCGTCTATGCCATTGATCATCGTTGCAATGCCTTGTCGCACAGCCTCTGCCATGCAGTCGTTCACATCTATTGCATTTCTATCGCATACTTTGAAGTATTTTTCTGAAAGAATAAATTAAGATTAATCAGCATTTAATCGGACTCATATATATATCTAAATATGCGTGACCGCTAAGCACAAGGTCCTTAGTTTTCTGGGTCGAGTAAGCTTTAATTGAGTTTTTAATTCAGGTAGGTCAAATACTGATCACGAAACATGTTGGGTTTAAAATTCGGTATCATAATATTGGGGTAGCTATAATTCCTCGTGGTTAGGCATATTTGTTTATTTTAGTCTGTTCTTATGCTTCACAACTTAACGTTAGATAAAGTGTCCTGCAATATAGGTACCTAACTGTTTCCTGGTGAAATACAAATCAGACATTTTAATTTCTAGATATACTTAAATGTCAACTTTAAAATTAGTATAGGTAGATATAATTAAAAGTAGATACCTATCTAAGTAATTGAATATTGATATAGCTTCTTATTTATTCAGCATTTTTATTTCGTATTTCATAAGAGTATTCAAAGTCCATTGGAAACCACCACAGATAAATGCTAGTTTAGTTGTTTTTCTCTAGTTTCGACGTTAATTGTATGCTGTTAGTACGTGGAAATAGGTATACCGCAAAGAGTTAAGCAGCTATTAACTAAGATGACAATAAAAGTCACAAATTATAGAGCTCTATGGCGTCCGAGCAATTAATGCTGATTAGATAGATCATTATCATCATGAAGAGTCATCATTGCTCATGTACACCAAACAATCCTTCCTACTAATATTATAAATGCGAAAATTTGTGGGGATGTATGTGTGTGTGTTTGTGTTTGTAACTCTTTCACGCAAAAATGGCTGAAGGAATCGAGATAAATTTTAGAACAGGGGTAAAATTTGGTCTGATATAACATGTAGGGTACTTTTCATCCCATGGGAACGTGGGCAAAGCCGCTGGCAGAAGTTAATGTGTTTACCTCTATAATTTACTAGCTTTTACCCGCGGCTTCGCTCGCGTCACAAAAGGATAAAAATAGCCTATGTGACATATACCAATACACACAGCCCCATCTATACCAATAATTTCGTTTTCCCTCGAGAATATCAAATTTTTCCGGGATAAAAAGCAAAAATTCTGCAAAAATTCAAAGCAACCGGTTTAGTAGTTACGGCGCGAAAGTGGAACAAACAAACAAACTCACTTTCCGATTTATAATATTAGTAAGGATTTATTTATTATTTTGGTACACACATACAATATAAAGGACATCACATATATACAATTAAAGTACAAAGGTACCACCTATTCCTGTTGGAATTTAAATTGTTTTGATGATATATATATGTATATATAATTATTTAGGAAACACATTTATTACACAACACACAAAAAATGTAAAGAATTATCAAGGTCTATAAATAAGATTAATATCAATTTATATTAAAAAATTGACAGTATAAAATATAGTATAATACAGTAGAACTTGTTTGAGAGAAAATTTAAATAAGTTCATTAAAAATCTACAAATAAGTAACACTTACTTATATCAACAGCACCGTAACAAACACTGACGATCATAAACAAACTAAAAACTATTTTTGAACCAAACATTTTATAATTTTATTTTAATTTGTTATTAAAAATAAATTATGAGAGACGAGTAGTGCGGTCTATGTTATGGCATCGTTTGTAAGTTTCGGTCGAGTGGTGCGCGCGCGCCGCTCCGCCCGCCGTATGTTCAAGAGATTGCATAAAGCGCAGCCTTCAATGTCACTACTGGTTTAGTGAATACATAATAAAGTTAGGTAATCATATAATAATACCATTCTGCATATTATTGTACCTATATCCCATTTATTATATTCTATTAATTTGATAATAGCTTGACGAGATAAACATGACTAAAAAATAATGAGTTTAATATTATATAACTATTATATTATACATTTAACTCGTCGAGTACCGTTTTTATAGACACAATTAAAGAACAATAGGTCGCGGTCACCGGTGACCGCTTGGTGTTTGACAGTTTAAATTTTAAATAACGTAGAAAATAAAGTGGAATATGTTATAAACGGGAATATTTACCTATTTAAAGTTGTTATATTGTAGACTTTTAGACTTTTTAGTTTACCTACATTTTATGTATTTAAACTAGCTTCGTATCGCTGCAGAAACAAGGGTTATTTTTTTTTTAATATGGTTAAGTAACTTATTTTTTGTCTCATAATATTTTTTACTGCAAACACGGATTTCCCTTCCTTCTTTTCATTTTGTACACAGACAGTTATGTATTTTGCTATCTAAGTGAATATTCGAAGAAAACTCTTCTTAAGATATTCAACAATTATTTTTATTTAAGGATCGAGATTCCATATGTAGCTAACTAGCTACATAGTACATACATACCTACATACATTAAAAATAAATAATATTTTTGTAGATTAATTATGTACTGCGAATAGGTAAGTTCTCATCCTATTTCGTTTTATATTGAGAGTGCTCAAGCCACAAACGCTGCTCCAAATCTTACGTTGAAAGAATATAGAGCTCTCATAGCGCCATCTCTCGAAAGATGTCTACACAACGTAAGGTATCGCATGCTTTACAAAACAAACAGTACCTATGTTAAACAAAGAAACCTTATGTTACGAGTGCTTCTTCAATGCTTTAATTAAATAAAGAGCAATTTAGTTTTATTTAAATGGCAGTCATCTATTTGTTAATGTATTTTTGGAGTTTTCTCTTCAGAAGGCGTAAAACACATAAACAGATTTCCTTACTCAACCTAACTAAATTACTTGAGTTGACATAAAGTCTGACCCCATATTTTGTTAGTTTAATAACAAACCTTGCACAGACTACGCAAGACAGGTTGCTAAACTATTAAACGCATTTTGTTTACGTATAGGTATAGTGACAGTGACTTACTTCATTTATTTTATTTATTTAGTAAGAGTTACCAACATTTGATTACACAATTACATTAATAACATAATAGTCTAAGATCCGGCTGCAGAATCAGTGTACCCATCGAGTGTTTGCTGAAAACCAAATTTTTACACATATTCATGATAAGGAGAATTTATATCCACCAGGTTGCCTATCAAAATGTGGCCGCTAGTATTTTTAATTAAATTATTAATAATTCATAATCCGTAAGAAATTTCACTGACTTTTTTTTTCAATGAAATGTCGTCTACTTCACGGCAACATCTATAAAGACTCTGAAAAATTATGGTTGCCGTTGCGCACCTGGCCGCACCTCTTCGCAGCCAGGTATACACAGGTATGAATTTGTTACATTTATACACCCACAACGTACATTTATAATTTATATATCAAATTAAAGCAAATTTTTTTCTGTATATTATTATATACGGTTGCTTAATTAAATCTGGCCGCCAATAAGGGTTGCTGGCTAATAAATATAGTAAATATTAAAAGTAGAGTGAAAGAGAGCTAGCGCGTAACACCACTAGTCACTAGGTACGACTCAAAATAATAAATACTCCAAAAGAAACGTCTTTCTTAACTAAAATAAAAAATTAAAAAGTCAACGACAAATTTAAAAATTACAAAAAAAATGAATATTGATGATAAATAAAATCAAGGTTACTTATGTAAAAAAATTGTGTTGTACAAGTACTGTATGAAAAAAGATTTAATTTTATTCAAGTATTACATTTATTTTACATATTCATCAATCATCAGTTTTACCTTCAAGCGGGCGCGTAGTCATTTATAACGGGAGCAGGCGCGCGTAACCGAAAAGACCTATGGGATTAATAAGAGAAATAAAGCACTAATTATTCAATATTTATTTATTTATTTGTACTCAGATTTATTATCATTGTCTTTAAATCGTAATTTGTCAAAAAAAGTAATTATTTTCATGAAAAACAAACAATTATTAGATTAATTAACATAACTCAAACATTATACAAATCAAATCAAAAATTAGGAACACAAACCCCTTTTTATATATCTAAGACTAGTTTATATACCTTATCTAATAACAAAAATTACGAATTATGAATACTAATAATAATTAACTTTGGTTTGGTTTTTTTAAAATTATAAATTTTTAAAATGTATTATATTTGTATTATACTTCCATGACTCTTTTTTAAAAATCTGAATCATCGGAGCTCTCAGTCACACTATCATCGCAGCTATCACTTTCATCAGAAATATCGGTATCGTCGTTATTATCGGAAGGCTTGTTCGTGGAATCACACAGCACATTCTCAACTTGCGCTGGAGTTGGATCTCCCAGGAACCATGTTGGTTTTAAAAAACCATCTAACAGCAGCCAGCCATTATTTTCCAAAATCATCGGTAGATTCAAGTGTTAATAAAATGTCATGATATTTATATTTTTTCTTGCGACGAAACAATAACATTAGAGAACACTTTTTGAATGAAGCATTATCAAAGTCTAGTACATTGCATTTTTTGTCGCACAGGAAACACGCCTTCATCCTTATAAATTTTATTTCACTTAAATGAGATTGATAATATTTCGATGCACAAATAAAACAGCAATTTTTTTTTGATCCGTTGACAACACTAACATCTGACGCATGCGCAATGGCTTTAAACCGTCTGACAGCTGGCAATCGCTATCCTCGTCTGACTAGTGGTGTTACGCGCTAGCTCTCTTTCACTCTACTTTTAATATTTACTATATTTATTAGCCAGCAACCCTTATTGGCGGCCAGATTTAATTAAGCAACCGTATATAATAATATACAGAAAAAAATTTGCTTTAATTTGATATATAAATTATAAATGTACGTTGTGGGTGTATAAATGTAACAAATTCATACCTGTGTATACCTGGCTGCGAAGAGGTGCGGCCAGGTGCGCAACGGCAACCATAATTTTTCAGAGTCTTTATAGATGTTGCCGTGAAGTAGACGACATTTCATTGAAAAAAAAGTCAGTGAAATTTCTTACGGATTATGAATTATTAATAATTTAATTAAAAATACTAGCGGCCACATTTTGATAGGCAACCTGGTGGATATAAATTCTCCTAATCATGAATATGTGTAAAAATTTGGTTTTCAGCAAACACTCGATGGGTACACTGATTCTGCAGCCGGATCTCGTACTATAAAATAAACAATCAAAGATGAATGAGCCTAAGTGTAACAAACAATTACAGATAACTACAACATTCACTGATGCAAATATGTACTTATGTGTCTATAAAAAAGTTCTTAATTACTATCTTAAAATCTAGTTTTAACATAAAATATCAAATTATATAATCAAGTTTCTGTGTGAACTGGAAATATGCATTTAAATACATTGGAACTGAACCGACCAAGCGAGTCCAAGTGAACATCTGTGGAATCAGAATATTTATTCAAGGCTTGACTCAGACGTAGTAGGGGTAAGTTTGCACCAAGCACAGGGGGCTTACTCTTGAATCCAATTCCGATCGATCGACATTGGTATTGTGAAATTTCGTACTCTTGAGTTGCAATACTAGAGCCCATTGCATCCGTATTGCGTAGATATTGAATGAACTAAATGGTATTGAGTTTGTCTTTATATTCCGTACTCTGAATGCTATTGTAACAGCTAAGATTGTGGTTGTATAGTGTTGACATTTAATAATTATTGAGATCATATTGGATTGAAATTGCATTGACATTGAGATTGGTTTCAAGAGTAAGCGCCCTGTTCTACGACGCGGTAGGTACACAAGGGGTTAGGATCTGTTTATGAGGGTAACTGAAAGGAACTCTATAATTTACCTTACTTAAGAGTTGCAGACAGTGTACACTATTGTTTAAAATCTTATGTCAAGGTATTCATTTTTCAGTTTCCAGAATAAGTTGAACTTGATAATCAAACATGCCCTTTGTTGATAATCAATTAATCGATTCGAATGAACATCCATCTATACATAATATTTGATTTCGTCTTATACGACTCACGTCTTCGTTTATAGCTTAGGTACAATTTAGGTAAATATTATAAAAATATTCATCGGTTGCGTGCACATACCTCCCTAAGGCTCCAATCTTTTTACCTAAGCTAAGTACCTACTACTGGTACCTTACTGGTGAGCGACAGTAAGCGTTGATTGATGTAATTAGGTACCATTTCTTTTTTAATTAACACAAACTTATTATTTTGAAACTAAGCTTACCATTATTTTACAATTTGAACACCTTTTTCAGTTTTACGCGGTCGAACCCGCACGCGGTTAGCTGGACGAAAGATTTAAACGACCGTGACCAAAGCCTGGAAAATTTTATGGTGATGCGGATATAAAATGGGTATAAGATAGATTGCTAATTGAAGCTAAAAATTTGGACACTGCAATGTCTATTTACAGACTATTTTTGAAATATTTACTGGTATTCCTTAACTACTATTATGTATCTATAAGCGTCATTGCCTAATTAGGTATATTATCATCTTCCAGTTTTGTATTAAATATTTAAATACGTTGCAGTAATCATAGAAATCGAAGGAACTAAATAAAACCTTGATACACATACTCAGACTCACACACTGTCCCATTTCGTTGCCACTTTATTATCATGCCCAGCAGATTTTGGAGTAGCACGTCATATATATTATGGGGT